AAAATATTTTTTAATTTTTAAAAATTATTTCTACCTACTAAAAATAAAATTATGTAAAATTAATAAATCTTTTAGACATTTATTTTATTTTTTTACCAAATTGATTTTTATTATGTGTTTGGATGATGATCATGTAAAATTAATTTTAAAAAATTAATCATGTAATTTTTATTAATTTTACATAATTTTATTCTTGGTTGGTAGAAATAATTTTTAAAAATTCAAAAATATTTGTTTGACATTTATTTTTGTCAAATTAGTTTATATTTTATCAAATTGACAATTTTACCCTTGAAAAATCTGATGATATCTTCAATTGTCCTTATTTGGAACAAGATTCAAAATTTAGGGTTAAATGTGTCATAATTGAAAAGTCAGGACCAAAGTGACATAATTCCCAAACTATAAGGACTATTTGTGTAATTTGCCCTAAATTAAAAATTAAAAATTACCAGAGATTCTAAAAATTCTATCAAAATTTCTACTTTTACATAGGTGTGGGACCCATCTAGTGTGGGTCTAACATCCATATAAGACATTTGATAAAAATTTTAGAGTCTATAGCATTACTTATTAAAAATAGTGCTTGAGTTTTCTCCTGGTGGGCTTCCCAACTAGAGTGTGTTGTTGGACTTCCATGAGCCCATTATGAAAGCTGTATCGATAATTTGAATCATTTAATAGGTAAAACTCGTCAAGTATTTCATCTCTGTAAAAAATTATATTGGTCGGATATCGATAACCATTTGATCAAATCACATTTCTATTAATAATTTACTTTTAAAATTATATTACCGTTAATGAAAATGTATTTTGATCAATTGACCATTGATACCAATTAACGTGATTTCTTACGAGAATGTATTACTCAACGATTTCTACACATTAAACGATCTAGATTATTGATGTTGTCTCCGTGGGTAACAACTCTCTCTAGGCCTAGAGAGAAGCATCTCTCCTAAAGATATAAGTGGATATGTACTGCATACCCCTAGTGGGGTGACCCCCGGTACCTCCACCCCCACGTGGGGAAGGACTGTGAGAGGAAGACTGAAACAAAAAAAAAAACAAAAAACAAAAAAAAATTCAGCCAATCAAAAATCAGTGGGGTGGTGGGAGTCACCTCTACTGGAGGTCTAAGGCATTTTTCTATATATATATATATGAAGGCTATGTTTAGCATATGTTTGAGTTATTTTAGTCAAGAAAAAATAACATAAATTAAATTAAAAAGTAAATAAAAAAATTAAAAAATTCATTTTAAATAAAACTTTTTAATTTAAACTAAAATAATTAAAAAATCAAAAAGTGAACTCATCCCAAATGAAAATAGAATTGGGGATGCTTTTGTAACTTTGTTTGACCTTTTTTTCTTTATAAAGTCACAATCAGGTCGTCAATTTCCCATTCCATTAATACTATTATATCTTTTCTCGTTTTGGGGTGGTTTAAAAGGCAAGTCTTCTAGTTGGCGCATGGGGTTTGATTTAGAGGCGCGCACGCACACACGCAATTATGCGTTCCCCTGTTCACAACAGATCTTTTGTTATTTTTCATATCTTAGGCCTTGTTTAGAAACATATTTTTTTAAGTAATTTTTTAATTTTTTTGTTAAAATATAATGTAAAAAAAATTAATATATTTGTGATGACTTTTTAACTTTTTACGAAAAGATATGCAAAAAGTAGAGAGAAAATAGAATCTTTGATTTTTTGATATAGGTGGTTGGCTTTTTGATTTTTTTAATAATTTTTTAACTTTTTGACTAAAATAATCACTTGTCAAACGAGGCCTTAATACAAACACATAAATTTCACCTTTTTATCAATTACAATATCTTTGAAGCATCATTTGACTATGCTACAACACCACTAAACAACTTTTCATAAAACAGAGTAACTCATGAATCATGAAATCAAGATAGGAATTTTCTTTTTCAATTTTTGTTTTAATTGAAATTTGAGGTAGTACAAAATGAATTGGGATAGAAGAGTGTGATTTTGGGACAGAGGATTCTCAACTCATCAATTTGTAAGCAATTCAAACGATTCGGATCATTAAAAGAAAACTTATAGTGAACTTTAACAGTTCGTTCTTTTAAATTCAAATTTAAACTTGAGAAAAACTTAACTCTTTGAAAAATCCCATATATAATTATTTTTTACCCTAAATTCACACTCCAAGACACAAAATGGATGGATCCTATATGTATTTAATAATGTGAATTCCATTGTATTGTGTATGAGAGAGAGAGAGAGAATATGGCAAGAAAATAGATTTTTTTTAATATGTTCAAACACTATTCAATAAGTCTAGATGAGTAATGTTAAAATAATTATTGTACTAGTAACTAGTCTGCCGGGTGAAATAAAATGAAACCGAACCAACTATATAAAAATTATTCTTCTTTAAATTATCAAAAACATTAGAAAAACTTAAACAACCAAAAGCTTATTACCTAGATATATAATTAACTGGTAATTATTGCCATCATTGTTGTTATTATGCAATCATCAAATCTTATTGCCCACTTCATGTAATTAAAACCACACATACATGCATACACTACGCACTCAAGAGAACCTATAATGACTCCAGTTCTCCAAATTTTAAGCGAGCCCAAATCACTTTTAAACATTGAAATGACCACTTCACCCTTCTAATCCACTATCAAAATTACAGGAGTTACGTAGAGATGGAGAGAAGATTCAAGGTGTACGTGTACGAAGAAGGGGACCCACCCATAGTCCATGATGGGCCCTGCAAGGACATATACACTACAGAAGGCAGATTCATACATGAGATGGAGTATGGGAAGAGTGGGTTCAGGACATGGGACCCTCACAGAGCTCATGTCTACTTCATGCCCTTCAGTGTCACCTGGATGGTCAAGTACCTCTACAAGCCTCTCTCTTATGACCTCGGACCACTTAGAGACTTTGTGTCTGATTACGTGAAGGTCATCTCCACCAAGCACCCCTTTTGGAATAGGACTCATGGCGCAGATCACTTCATGCTCTCTTGTCATGATTGGGTAAGTTTTTTTTAGCTTAAGAGCTTGTTTGGTTGCTTGCTGAATTGATTTGAATGGTGCTTTGTTATTTTTTTATGGTATTTGGAGTAATTATCGATCAAATAAGATGGAATAATTAGAAAAATATACCCTTTCATTCTAGGTATTTTTGAAATAATCAAAAAAGAAAATACTTAAAAGATTAATTTAGTTACTTTAATAAATTTTGATTCCCCTTGCCTTAATTGAAGCTGCATTTGGATTGAGAGATTTTTAATGGAGGAATTTGAATATAGACTTTATAAAAATATGAAAGGGTTAACTATTATAAGTAGTTGAAAAAAAGAAGAAGAAAAAGATGTAGTAGAGTTAATTAAAAGAGTATTTTGTTATCATTTTATAAACAACATTACCAACCTATCTATTTAGTTTTTTAACTAGCGTTCACAACTTTGAGTGGGGGTCTATTATTTTTTAAAGAACGAATTAAAAGGTGAGTGATGTTTACTCATCATCAAATGGGTGAACAAAAGTATTTTATTATTTATTACCATCTAATCAAACAAAATAAATACTTAAATTTTTAAATGAATTAATTGTGAGTAATTTATAAAGATAACAGAATAGACAAGACAATCTATCTTATATCAATCTCAAAAAAAAGGACAATGCATCGTATGTTTGAGTATCACCCCCTGGCCACACAATAATTATAACATTCACAAATATTTTACTTGCATATAATATAATAAAAAATATTGCTAGCAAGTGCCTTAGAACAAAAGTGAAAGACAAAATGGTTAAAGAATACTAGACATTTTTCACTTATTTAATACATTTTTTTTTTATTAAAATCAATATAATTTTTAATTTATTTTCAAAATATTTGTTAAACACTTCTCAACATTAAACAAAGACAGAACTGTTAGCATTGCCATAACTTACACCTCCTCTCAGCATTTTCCATGTTTTGCAGGGACCCCATGCCTCACAAGGCAATTCAATACTCTACAACACCTCAATCCGAGTCTTGTGCAACGCCAACTCCTCCGAAGGCTTCAACCCACAAAAAGATGTTACCCTCCCTGAAATCCATCTCTACTCCGGCAACATCCCCCCCAAACTCCTCTCCACTTCTCCACCATCCCCCTCTCCCCGTCCCCACCTCGCCTTCTTCTCTGGCGGCCTCCACGGCCCCATCCGCCCCACCCTCCTCCACTACTGGAAAAACCGCGATCCTAACCTCCTCGTCTACGAATACCTCCCAAACAACCTAGACTACTATACTCTCATGCTTCAATCCAAGTACTGTCTGTGCCCAAGTGGCTATGAAGTGGCTAGCCCTAGAATAGTCGAGGCCATTTATGCTGAATGTGTCCCAGTGATCTTGTCCGATCACTATGTGTTGCCGTTTAGCGATGTGTTAAGATGGGAAGCATTCTCGTTACAGGTTGGAGTTTTGGAGATTCCTAGGTTGAAGGAGGTGTTAATGGCTGTTCCAGAAGAGAAATATGTGAGGTTGACGGAAGGTTTGAGAGGTGTGAGGAGACATTTTGTGTTTCACCAACCAGCTAAGAGGTTTGATGTGTTTCATATGATATTACACTCTGTATGGCTTAGGAGAATAAATTCAAGACTATGATAGATACAATGTTATATACATATACATGTCGCAAAATTAATGGATGAAAAATTAATGTATCACCTTTTGTTGTACTTGTCAATATGGTGCTCCTTATCAATGGTCAAAATCTTATGGATAAAACAAAAACAAGTATTTAAACAGAGGAACACAAATGCAAAGTAGACAAAACTTTCTCAATGACTTTTGATTAATATGAGAGAAAAAATTGAGATAAAGTATGGCATTTTGCAACCCTTAATTCTGTTGAACTCACTTCCCCATTCCCCAATTCTACCAAAATACTAACACAGCCCTTTTCCCATCCATCCATCTCCAAGAATCTTTACATTATTTCTTTTTCCCACCAAAGTGTTCCAACAGCTCTACCAGCCAACAACATACCCAACAGAATAAAAACTCAAAAAATAGAAGAATACCGCTTTCGTATGAGAGCGATAAAGGTAGTGTTCATGTATGGTTGAACCAAGGCCCAATTCCACCACCGTTCACGTGCCCATTGCTCCCAACCCCATTTGGGATGAGGGAAGGAGGCAATCCAACAGGCATTGGAGATGGTGCAGCAGCGTACAACCCATGAGTGTGGGGACTCACAAGAGGACTGCCAGCTGGACTACCATTGAGCTGTTGGAGGGCACGTATCTGCCTCAGCCCTTCTTCGTGGATGCGTGAGAGTGTCTCCAACTCCTTCATTGATAGAGCTTCCAATCCGGCACCATATAGAGGGGCATGTCGTGACATTTCTTCCTGTAGTGAAGTTTCAAGGCTGTGAATGTAATGCTGCAACGAGAGGAGGAAGATTAGATTGTACAACCTTTAGTACAGATGGAAGCAAGTAGGAAAAACACACTCAACCAAAGAGAGAGATGCAACTCAGAAACCGTTTATCTTAGAACAATCTTTGAAATGTTCATTAATAAATGAATAGTGACAGTCCCAAGAGATAGGGGGAGAGATAAAAAAACACCGAACAAAAGATGCTATGTTAGAGGTAAAACCTGGCAAGCCTGCAACTTGGCTTCCATCCCATCAATGTATGCTTCACAGCGAGCAACCTGCTCTTCCTTCTCACGTTTTTCCCCTTCAGTTTGTCCAACTGTTTGTGTCAAACGTCGAACTTCATCCTCAAGTGACTGCCGGATTTCTTCTCGAGTCACTTTTTCTGTGGCATAGCGTTTCAGTTCTTCATCAAATCTTTTCCGTGCAGCTTCAGCACTCTTCAATCTTTCTGCAAGAGCATTTTTCTCCTTCACTACTCTCTGTAACATTAATAGCACAGGGAAAACAACAGATAAAGCCTCAACCTCTGTGAGGAAGACAAAATAGATCAAACATTCAAAATAAAATACCTTCATCAACAAAATTTGATATTTGATAATTTACTTCTATATATGTTGAGAACACAAATCATCACCAGATGTTTCCAATTTTAGTATTGATTTTAGCATACATGGTAAATTTAACAATCCTGAAAGTTTTTCCAATATATCTCCTCAAGGTTTCCTTATGAGTAAAAAAATATCAAACAAAAATATCAAACATAAAAAATATGGCTAACATGGACATTCTCATCTCTACACATATCTACCAGTGAAGCCCCCTTAAGTTGCAATTAGATGTTCAAACATAAATAGCAGTGGAGAATCTCATTTCCAATAACCATGTGGGAGAATAAAATGCCTAGCCACTACAAATTAAATTTGCTCACCTTCAATTCATCACGTTTCCGGGATTTTAGTTGGGAGAGCTGTGTCTCTGCATCATGCAGACGATCCTGAATAACTTTTTTCTCGGTAGTGAGCTTTCCGATTTCATCATCCCGTTCTGAGCGAAGCCATTCAAGTTGACTCTCAATTTCTTGCATCTGCTCAGAAAGCTCCTTCCTTTCCCGAGCAAAACGATCCATCTCGGCCCTCATTTCCAACTGCCATTTCATGAAGGTATCAATTCTAACAATCCCATAAAAATTAATCAAAAGAGATACAGTTTTCCTAAATATGTATCAAGAATAGCAAATAGGTACCTTAAGACGGCTGTTAGTAGCCTCAGATTCATTCAGCCTTTGTGATATGATAGATTTTTCTTTAATCATATTGGAGGTCTCAGCTTTTCTTTCTTCACGAATACGAATAATCTCATCTTCGCTGGCACATAACTGATGCCAAAGAGCAGCTCGATCAACATTTGCAAGTTCAGCAATCTCCCTTATCATACTCAGAACTGGTCTAACAAATTCTTGCTCCTCACAGACCAAAATTACCAGAATTTCCAAATCTAAGTCCACCTCACGACTACTCTCTGCCGTGCTGGTGGCACGGTCAACCAGTCTCTTCAGCATCTTCAATCGATAAGACTCATCAGCGTACCATTTAAACAAAATAGCATAAAGCATCTTCACAAACCCTCTCACATGGGGGTCTCTGGAAAGGGCCAATGTCTCAGCAAGGCCAAGAACAGAAGTGAAATCATCTCTCTGGGCCCTTAACTGCTCAATGGCTTCTCCATCTACAACCTCATCTGTATTCTGAAAATTTTCAGTAACAAATTGTTTAGTAAAATTTAATCTCCGAGCAAGGCGTCTTTCCAGGACCATAGCTACTGATTGAGCCACTATTGCCCCTCGAGCTACAGCTCTCTCAAAAGTTTGGGAAGCTTCAACAAGAAGACAAGGAATTGATAACATTTCAATTAAAATATGTATATCGGAAAAATAACAACCAAGACGAAAAGTATGCTCATCCATTGCATGCAATCTTTCACAAGTAGGCCCATTTTCACCAAATATGAAGAGCCCACTGGGAATTGCAGGAACCATTGTCACCAAAATCATTGTCACAATCAATATCTCTTAAAATAGCTTCTGCGATATCTGTGCAACTATTCACCATTCTACTTAAATAATCAAGAACACAGGGGGACACCTCAGTGCCCAAATCTTTTAGCCTAACACGAACAGATCTAACCTACAGAGGAGAACAAAAGGAAGTTGGATACCATCAAAAGAAAAGTATGGCAAACAATATAAATCAATAATAAATATAAAAGGGTCTCATGTAAGTTTCAAAAGATTTTGATGCAAACCGCTTCTGGAAGATGTTCGCACTGCAATGAAGCCTTAAAAATAAAATCCATGGTTGCTGCTAGAGGTTCGTCATTTGAGTCTGCCAAAAGTTCAAAGGATTGAGAAAGGGCGCGTTCCCACACTTCAGCGCTACATTCCAACAGGCAGAGAGCACCAAAAACCTGAGGAACAAAGGTTGCATGAATATGAATAGCAATAAACAACTTTAACAAAATTTTCTACAAAATTAAAATTCAAAGTAGAATACATTCAACTAGGGCTGTGCAACGGATCCACCGACCCGCCAAACATGCCCGACCCGACCCAACCCGACACCTGATGAATGGATGCGTGACCCCTGGCGGGCGGGGGCGGGCCCAGTTTTTCGATTTTCTCGGGTTCGGGTCGGGTGGCGAGTGATCCGCCGTTTTACCTAGTAAACCCGACCCGTCCCTCTCTCTCTCTCTCTACCCTACCCATCATCCGACGATCTATACGGTGAACCTTTGAGCGACGATCTACACACTGAACCTCTGACCGACGATCTACACTCTGAACAGCGATCGATTTGCATTGAACGACGATCGATCTACAGTGAGGTATCTCTCTCTCTCTCTCTCTCTCTCTCTCTAGATAGAAGATATACAGATACCTCTCTTTGTATATATATTGTGTATTGTCATAAATGGAAGTGTTAAGAATCTGCTTGACAAAAGTAACAAACAGAAGTTAATATATATTTTATATATATATATGCTCTAATAATTTATATATAAGTTCCAGCAGCACCAGCAACCTTTACTGTATATATTAGAATAGATTTCTCCTTTCCCTTCTCCTTTTGCTATGTTTTGGAACTTTGGATGCATTTGGATTTTGACTTTGTGAAAAGAAAAGGAATTGAAAATTAGTAGAAGCTGCTAAATTTGTTTTGTTTGGTTGGGTTAGAAATATAAGCAGAAAATTAATGGATATGTTTGGTGAGGCACTCCACTCCACTGGTATGACATTTTTCATCTGGTTATCTTTTATTGGATATGTTTGGAATTATGTATGCTATGGTTGACTGCAGCAGCGTGGAAATATCTATGATGTGAAAAGCGCTAAAAGTGATGATCTTTCTTGTGTGCAATAAACAGACAGACAGGGTTGAAACACACATTGAGCTGATTGTTACTCTATGGACAACCTCTATTTGGGAAAAAATTCCAATACAATGCCATCATTACTGTCCAGGTTGTTTCATAGATGTGAAGAATGAATAAATATTGCATTGTTTAGGGAGGCTTTTTTTTTTTATATGCTGAAAATTTGTAAAATTTCAAGCCGCCAAACCGATTTGTATCCATCCGCCAAACCGATTCGTATCCATCCGCCAATCCGCCAAATTCGCATCCGCCGGATTGGCGGACGGATGAGGATTGATTTTCTCCAATCCGTTAATCTGGCGGACGGACGGCGGATTGGAGGTTTCGTGGCCGCAACCAATCCGCGCCCACCCCTACATTCAATATTGATACACGCTTTTGGCTTGGTATTCTTGGCTGGTTATCTACTCTATATAGAGGGCACAAATGGAGTTTGGTACAAGATGTTACTTGTGTTCTATGTGGAAGTAATGTTACTTGTGTTCTATGTGGAAAAATTCTCTTCTTCAACTGCTGCTACTCCAACATTATGTGGAAGCAGATAATGGAAAGCCCAAAATTTCAGAGAACCCAAGGGATTTGCAAGCTGAAAGTAATTGGGTGCTTCAAAAAATAAGGGAAGGGGAGTTTTTTGAAAACCTGCTCGAGCTTTCCCTAGCTGCAGCTGTTTATTTCATTTGGCAGGAGTAGAATAAAAGAATTTTTTCACATAGGAGAAGAACACAGGATGAGGTATTAAGGCCTCGCTTGGGAACAGGCTAATTTAGTAACTTTTTGGCTATTTGGCTAAAACATGAGCTTAAAAAAACTAGTATGTTTGGGATGACTTTTTGGCTTTTTACGAAAAGATGTGCAAAAAGTAGAGAGAAAAGAGAATCTTTGACTTTTTGGTATGGGTTGTTGGCTTTTTGGCTAATTTAGTAACTTTTTGACTTTTTAGCTAAAAGGGAGGGTTCCCAAACGAGGCCTAAAGGAAATTTATGGAAATATTAAAAGTAGACTAGCCACTTGGAGAGGCTTTGAGGATGATCAATCCATAGAAGGATAGTTCATCCATGGGACCTTTCTAGCAATATTTTTAGCGGAAAATTTTGATTAAAAAAACATTGATACACGCATTCCCTAGACATTCATAGATTATGGAGCACATCCTAATAAGAAAACCACAAGAAAAGAAAAGAAAACATTCAAATTATCTTACAGGTACTCGTAATGCAGGTTCTGCATCAGGCCTTTGAAGTCGATCAAGTAGTGCGCAAGCAGCAAGTGGATGCTCTGAATGCTCAACTAATTTCGGTACCAATGCAACCAGGTCTGGCTGCAGATGCTTAGGCGCTTTATCTAATACAAGGGCAATCTTTTGTGCGGACTGGGGCCTTCTTCTTGGCTCAGGACAACCTTGTGGAACTGCTCCATCCAGTGCTCTCAGTGAGTTCACAATCAACCCCAGAAGCTCCTCAGACTGCTCTGGCCATTTGGTCTGAGATATATTTTCTTCAATTAGTCAACACCATAAAATTCAAGCTCAAAAGTTCAACACTTGAGACAATTCACGTACCTTAGACCGAAGACAAGCACTTTCTGAAGAACTAGCAGCAGATGTCTCAGGTGGACAAATAGGCGGTGCACGGACAGTTTTATCAGGTATAACAGTTCCATTCATGTCTGAACTTTGTACAGCTGATGTATTGGTACCTTCATCTATCCAAGAATCCAACCTATCGTGTATAGGGAGAGGTGCAGACTCTATTGCTCCAGTTTCCCTATCAGACTCTGGCGGGCTAATAGCTCCACTGCTTTCTGGAGAAGGTTTAAAGTTTGCATCTGAGCAATCATCATTAGAACTTCCTTCTGAAGGTTGGCAACATTCAACCATTATATCCAAGAGTAGATCAATGATTGCCTGCTGCAGAACTTTGACTCCCATCAACAAATTCATCAGACTGGGGGAAGATTCATCATTCTTGGTGACCTTCTTGCCATCATTACCACCAGAGAGTTTGGTTGGAAGAAGCAAGCGCTTTACTTTAGCAGGGTCATCAAGATAAACACGAAGTCCAGTCAGAAAACCAGCTATTGCACCAGCATCCATGAGAAGCTTTTCTCTTAAAGTGACCTGTGGCTGTGAAGGATTATCTCCATATGTGAGGTGAAACCCAGCTCTAGAAAGAAGGTTTCTAAAGATGTCTTCTTCATCCCCACTTATCACTTCACTATCCTCAGAATCGACGAGTTCGTCAGGGTCAGTTGTCAGTGCATCCTGATCATCCTCAGAAGCCAAAACCTGAAAAAAGGAAGACCAGGTTTGGAAAGGGAATATGCACCAAACAAAAATAAGAAATAAAGAAATAAAAATAAGGCACAGCATGTAAAATCATGCCTCAATCATGCATAAGATCAAAAGACCATGGAGAACATTTAAATTCATTTATTAAAAAACAATTAAATTAAGTGTACCTTCTATGTGCTCGTGTTTGAGATATAAACAGCCATTATTCATTTACTAAAAACAAAAAAATTAAGGGGGCCTTCTATGTGCTCGTGTTTGAGTTATAAACAGGCATCTAAACTCTATTATACATGTCCCAAGAGTGGCAATTAATTAACAGAAGCTAATTATTATGATGTTTGTGGGCCAACAGGTAAGCGTCTTCCTGACTTCCAGTTGAAAGGTTATAAGAGAGAGTTTGCAAGTCATTATGCTGTAGTCTACTTAGTGTCTATTATTTTAAACCAAGATGCTGTAGACTATTCTTCCATGGTCTTCATGTTCCTCTTCCTTCTTTTATAATCTTCATTCACACACAAAACAACTTTTTTTTGGGTGCATTTCACATACAAACACCACCTATTGAACAAGTGGTTTTAGAGGTATCCTTTGAAAGGAGAGAGTACATGACAGGGATGGTGGTGTCGATTCTGGGGATTGGACTTCCAGGGCGTGACATGATCTCAAATGATGGATCTTAAGAAGGGCATTTGGGAATGCTAGGTGGTGTTCTCCAAGCAATATAGGTTTAGGTTTAGGTTCAGCAAGATGATTCAGCTTTAGTCCAATGTGTGGTGGAGAGATGCTTCCTTACAAGAATCCTTCCGGGCTTTGTATGGTATAACTTCCAATAGTAATGCTCTCATTGCCAAATATACTAGGTTCTTGGATAGGAGAGGTCTCATGGGAACCCTGGTTCATAAGAGCTGCTGTCCAGGATTGGAATCTAGAGGAAATTATTTTTGCAAGAGAAAGTACAGAGCATCCTTTTTGTGAAGATAGAGAGGATACCATGGCTTGTGGAGACAATTCCTACGAGAATCCTTCCCTTATTTGTATGATATAATAACTTCCTATAGTAAGGCTCTCATTGACAACAATGCTAGATTCACGAAGAGGGTTCATGCGAGTTGTCCAGGATCAGAAACTAGAGGATGAGATGAGTTTCCCTTATTTGTATGATATAATAACTTCCTACAGTAAGGCTCTCATTGACAACTATGCCAGATTCATAGAGAGGGTTCATGCGAGTTGTCCAGGATCAGAAACTAGAAGATGAGATGAGTTTTCCGAGAGAGTGCAGTGCATCCTTTTGTGAAGAGAGAGAGAGGATACCATGGCTTGTAAGGGAGATAGGAATGGCAAAATTGGGGTGAGTTCTTGTTACAACATGTAGTAACTCAAAAGGCATTCGATGTGCAAAGCTCTCTCTCAAAAGGCAGCTCCAGAAGCTATTTTCCCATTGATAGTTTGAGTAACATTTCCTAATTGCTGCTGTATGCAAAAAGAAAAACAGGGAAAAGAGAAAATCATCTTCTTGTGTTGTGAGATGGCTAGAGAGTTGTGGAGTATGGTTTTCTGCCTCTGCAGTCCAGTGGGTTATGCCTTCCTATCTAAGTTACTTCGGCGTCGGGCCCATAGCTGTGCTATAAAGGGAATCAAGAGGGATTTTATGGTTGTTGCTCTATTCTTTATGTGGAGCATTTTGAGGGATTTTATAGTTCTTTTTGATTTAATGCTTAAGACGTGTTCTCATCTATAGTATTAGTAAAAGACGTGTTCTCATCTTTCAAAACAAAGATATAGTCGTGGTTTAGAGCTCCTTTCATTCTCTGGGTGTCAAGACGATTCCCTTAGCTCTACAATTTCAAAAGTGGTTTGAAAATTTGGTCGTAGGTGTGTAGTTTGATTAGTTATCGTACACAGCCCATGTACTTGGGTTTTCCAAATTTTACACGTTTTATTTATTACAACTAATAAAAACAAAATTCAGAAAAATAGACACTCACAAGTGGTTGGGGAAGCCATTAGTATAATCTAAGTAGCATCTTGCGGTTACTTCCTTCTTTCAGAATGCATCGATGGTACATGGTGGCAGAAACCCAGTTGAACCCATGAGATCATGCAAAATACTGTCAGTTTTATTCAAGCACTTTCTAACAGTAACAAGCATCTACAGCCAAGTTAGGCAGCTAATTTAAGTAGGAAAGAAATCATAATCCATGTGAAAGTGCCTTAAAACGTGTAAGCCACTAGTTTAATCTCCAAAATCTAGATGAAGTAAACCTCCATCAGTGAAATTTTCGGAATGGTCAGTGAATAAATTTTGAAAACAAATTGTAAAATCGCAATGCATGACAAAAATGCATAGTTAGGTGAATTGGTCAAATATTTACCAACCTTCAGATCTGAAAACTCAAACCAGGGGCAGCAGTCCAGGATTTCACAAACAAAAACAACAGTGTCACGTACAAGAAAACCTGCATCTGCTTCCAGCATATCCGACACCTTCATAAATTGAAGAACGGAATTATTCCATGTTTTTGTACAAATAGAAGACTCTTTCCATACTGTCTTGGCAGGATTTTTTTGATTCACAACCGCCATTTGGTATTTGACCCAGAAGTTTTTATCTGGATCAGTGCCAACTGATTGATCACTCTCTAGGTATATACATATGGTGTCGAAGGATTCATACACACCTGCATCACAAAAAACAAAAAAACCAATTAAAGAGAGGCAACCAACTGCAACCACACTTTCAGTGGAGATATCAGTGATAAAAATAAAAAGACACCCACCAATCCGAAGCTCGCATCCACCAGCTTGAAAGAATTTGCTAAAGATTTTTCGGGTCTCCATTATTTCCTTAAAGGAGAGGAAGTTCTCCACCTTCCATGTAAAACTCCTTGTCCCAGCTTTATCTACATCGGAACCAGCACCGCTTGACTCAGTATCCTGATCAGTAAAATCCTGCATTATGGACGTCTCTTTCAAAATAAGAACTTCTGCAGAGAATACAACTGTATCCTGAACAAGAAATCCAGAATCTTGATCAAAGAGACTAGTCAGTGTCACAAATTCACGCCATCCCCAATCTTTTGCAGCTTTGGAGTAGCGGTTCTGTGACTCCTTTGTAACAGACTTGTCCTCCAACCTCTGGTTCACTACTGACAATCGATGGCTCACAAAACAACTCCAATCACTGGAAGTATTTCGTGAATCTGTGACTTCAAGAAATACTGAAAGGTGGCATGGTGGTTGAGACTGCCCTGATACCAGCAAGCATAAGTGTAGTTTTCATCAGTCAAGTTTCCTAAAAATGAACTAAGCAGCTTTCAATTTAGCCAGTAAAGTTCAAGTGCAAGATTCACAATAAAATGACATGCTATCCTTTTCATTAACAGAATATAGGAACCAATGGTCCTCGCTAATCCATGTAAAATAATTGATCAGTTCAATTTCATATGCATAACATAACCAACTGTAAGTTTAGTGCATATAACTCCAGGTGCAAGGATCAGCACACAATTGATAAGCCAATCTCTTGGTTATTTCTAAAGAAAGTAGGAATAATAGCTCAACAATCCATATACACAGGCTGAGAAACTGCATATAGCTCGAATAATTCCAAGTGCAAGAATCAGTGTGAAAATGATGAGACAAGTCCGTCTTCAATTCAAAATATATGGGAACTAACTTCTTCAGTAACCAATAGAAGAATCACATGCTACATTGTCCTACTCATTATCTACAATTGGAACTATCAACTATAAAATTCTAAGAACAGAGAAGCCTCTAGTGCAGCAATGTTGCTTACCTCGGGGATAAACAATAAGCCGGCAATCTCGATTCCCGATTTGAAATCTCCTGCTCTTGATGCAAAGACCTGTAATCTTCCTCTTCTTCAGAAGGTCCTTCAACCTTGTGAAATTCTCGATTCTCCAAGTGAATTTCCCCATGTACCCATCAGACTTCCTTGCACCACATCCTCCACCCCTTCCTCCAGTCAACCCCCCATTTTTAGAAAAGCTACTAAGCTCCCTTATCACATGAAAAGATGTACTGAATACTGCGGTATCATCCACCAAAAACCCCGACTCTGGCCCAATAAAATCGGACATCTTCATGTAATCATTCCACCCCAAACTCGTATTATCCCCACTTTTATTATCAGCTGCAAACCTCCCATAAGAGTCCCTGTGCATGTGATTCAACCCTGGCTTTTGATTCAACACTGACATTCGAAACAAACACCAACAACTGCGCTCCGAAACTATTGTCTTCTCAGTATCCTTACTCTCCAAACACATAGATAAGTAATCAACCCCATTAACCGAACTCTGATAAACACTTATCCGTAAGTTACACTCTCCAGCCGGAAAAACCGGGCTCATTATCTTCTGTGTCTTAATCATCTCCTTGAATAGACTAAAATTGTGAACTTTCCAAGTAAACTTGCCACTCAAAACATCACCAACTGGCACCGACGAGGACAACATCGAATTCGATTGTAATTCATTGTTATCTCTGGTAAAATTAAGCGATTCATTCAATACAAGTATATCCGCAGTAATAAGTATCGAATTCGAATCATTATTAACCAAAAAACCAGATTTAGGGTCTAGAATCGAAGCAGAGGGGGTGAAATCACACCAACCGTGAGACTTCTTCTTGCTAGAGAACCTGTGCCACGAATCCCTATGAATTGACTTCGATTCATCATTGGAATTCACAACAGCGAGACGATAGCTAGCAAAGCAGTCCCATTTCGACGAAGAACTCCCCCTAGGGTCCATAATTTGGAGGTAGATTGAGATGTAACCAGGAAGAGCTTGAGAGTCACCCTTAGGGTAAACCAAGAGGCGACAATCGTAGCCTCCGACTTCAAAGTACTTGCTCCACAGTGCCCTAGCTTTCACCTTAGGGAAATTGAAGATGCTCCATTTACACACCGCTCCAAACTCGCCCCGCCGCTCCACCGTCACGGACTCCTGCCCCCCGGCGGCGTCCCGCGGCACAGCCGGATCCTCCGCCGCCGGAATCGATACGATGGGAGGCTTTTCCGATTGAGTCGCCGCCGCGGACGACGGCGTGGAGGCCGATGATGAGGTCATGTGGAGGGAGTGGTGAGAATGGTCCGATGGGGATGAGGAGGACGAGACGGCATCGGAGGAGGATGAGAAGCTGTGGTGGTGGTGCTGCAGCTGCTGCTGCTTCTTCATTGTTGCGTTTTTTTGGGGTATGTTTTAGGTTTCTTTCTTTCTTTCTCCCTCTATATCTATGTATATATATGGTAGAGATAGTACCAAGAGGAGGAGGTTGGAGGAGGGATGGAAGGAGGGAGAGGGCAAAAGTTTGGACAATGTGCGGCGCATGATAGTTATAAAGAGTGCAACAACATACACACAATTTTTTTATTTTTTTATTTTTGATAATAAAAAAAAAACACAGAGAAAGTGTCATTTGTGATTTAAAATTTATTATGTAGAGCGCTTATATACCATTTATTAAAAAAGTAAATAAATTAAAAATATATTTTTCGAGTTTTGCCCTGTGGTTGTGAAAATTTAAATTTCACACTTAAAATTTCTAATTTTATAATAATTTTTTTTTTTTAATAAATTAGTAAGTTAATTATTGTTTCCATCTCAAAATATTAGTCCCTTTTAAAAAATATAACTTTTTTGGTATTATAATCATTACACTTCAAAAAATATTAACTTTCTAAAACTATCATTTGCTAATACAATTATTACACTTCAAAATAATGTCAATGAATTTAAAATAATGACAAAATAACAAATTTATAATATTTTAGTCTTTAATTTTTGAAAATTGACTAATATGTTGGCACAATAAAAAATAAAATAAGGGATTAATATTTTGGATGGAAAGAGTAAGTTTTGTTTGGGAAGATGGGTCGGGTTGGGTTTGGGGCTATTTTAGCCACAAAAAGATAAAATAGGTTATTTAGCCGAATAAGACAAAGTATCACATTTAACTCATAATCATTACATCCTTTCTTTTACAAAAAGTCAAAAAAACAAAACAAAAAAAAATCCTTTCTAAACGATACTTTTTAGCCTTAGGCTAAAATAACCAAAAAAATAAAAAGCCAACCCACTTCTCAAACGAACCCTAACTATTTTTAATGATGTTAAAAATATTTCAATTAATAATTCAAGTAATTTTGTTATTGTATAGAAAAACAATTATAAATTTCATTTGTTTAGCTAATTTTATTAAATAAAATTTTTTTACAATAGAGTATTTGTAATTTTTAAATCATAGGAAGACATGTGTATTTAAGCAAATCTCAAAATGTATATTTGTGATTTACCCTAAGAAAATAAATTAATTGATAATTATTTGTTTGTACAAAAATAACAATGAATACATTTTTTAAAGTAATGAAAATTTTATCATTATCAGATCAATTTAATTTTTTTCATAAATGATATACATAGAAAGATCAAAACAAAACTCGTGATGAGTTTCACTAGCTTCACAATTTCTCTCAAGTTAAAATTAATAGTGAATTACATTAACAGTCCCTATCGTTTGAGACTTGTGTCACTTTGATTTCTGACTTTTTAATTATAACACTTTTGACTTTGAATTTTAAATCTTGTTATAAATCTTGATATAAATAAGGACAATTGAAGATATCATTACTCAATTTTAAGGGCAAAATCGTCAATTTGATAAAAATATATATATATGTATATGTGTAAACGAATTTGACAAAAATAAAAGTCAAAAAAATATTTTAAAATTTTTAAAAATTATTTCTACCCACCAAAAATAAAATTGTGTAAAATTGATAAACTTTTACATATTTATTTATTTATTTATTTTACCAAATTAATTTTTATTATGCGTTTAGATGATAATCATGTAATGGGTGTTGTTAGGATTTTAATGTGTAATTGATATATTTAATATATGAAATGTTTTTAGTTTTGAATTTTTTGATCTAATGGATTGGTTTAATAATGATATCAAAGTTGTCGCGCATATTTGATTTGTAGAAAAATAGAAACCAATTTAATGAAAATAAAAATAACCACACATTACATGATTATCATCCAAACACATAATAAAAATTAATTTGATAAAATAAATAAATAAATGTTGTAAAGATTTGTCAATTTTACATAATTTTATCTTTAATAAGTAGAAATAATTTTTAAAAATTTAAAAATATCTTTTGACATTTATTTTTGTCAAATTAGTTTATATTTTTTATTAAATTGACGACTTTGCCCTTGAAATTGATCAATGATATCTTCAATTGCCCTTATCTGAAACAAAATTCAAAATTCAGGATCAAACGTGTCCTAATTAAAAAGTCAAAGACCAAAGTGACCTGAACCCTAAACTATACAGACTATTAATGTAATTCCTCCTAAATTAACTCACATAATACATAAGCTTAATTAATTTACAATATACAATATAAATATTAGTCACAATTTTACTCTTTTTATATTTTAATTATGTGCAAGTACCTTTTCATCTCAATGTCCCTCATTTGACTAGGTCTTAATCAAATCACTATATTCAACTTATTACTTGTTATATAAATTAATTAAATTAAAACATAATTATATTTTCAATTCAAAATAAAACCATATGTTATTTTACTAGACTCTATTATTATTTACTCGTAATTATTTTAATTAAAATCAAAATTAACTAATTTTATTTAACACTCAGTATTAGATTTCACAATACATTATAAGTTTTCTTCCTCTATATATTCATCTCTTCATATCTCTCTATACTCATCTTATAAGTCACAATTTAAATATGCACTGATAATTCAAATCATCCATTTTATAAGTTTCGTAATAAAAATTATTTATACAAAAAATGAGTTTCATAAAAAATTAAAAGCTTAAAAAAATCTTATTTTATTTAATAAAGTGAATGATAAATGTAATTGTAAACTTAACCATATGTTTTATAAAATAAAATATTTTTTTGTTTCGTTATTTATAAATTTTCGATGAACAAAAAATTGGGAAATATGGGAAAAATGAAAATGAAAAAGAAAAAGAGAAGGTAACAAAAATCATATGTGAAGCACACGTGTCACTAAAGAGATCGAAAGATCTACGGAGAGTCCGTCAGCCCCTGTGTGAGACTGCATTTCCCTTTCCAGCCTGAAAAACTCGCCGCGATTCGAACCGCCGATTAAGCTCTCTGGCCGGTTCTCGTACACTGAGCCACAGTAAGACCGCTCTAATCCTCACTTTTTTACACACTTTGTACGATCAAATCCCTCAATCTTGTGTTTAATTTGAGTTTGTTTACTTCAATTTTGACCTAGGTTTTCTTCACATATATATATGTATAGTATATGTATGTGTTTGTAGTCACAGCAGGGTTTCATTTGTGCAGATAAATGGGGGTTTTGAAGTATTTGGTCTTAGTGACAAACCCTTTTTTTTTTTGAGTTCGTGTTTGGTTGCCGAGAAAATGAAAGCAAGGGGAAAAAAAATTGGGTATTTTCTGTGTTTTTTATACTGCTGTTCTGGTGTTCAGATGATGAAAATTGAACTCAACTGTGACAATTACTTGTCTGCTGAGTAGAACAAGGGAGTTTCGATTTTGCACCCCACGCCATCTCAGTTCACACACTTCTTTGGCTTGGAAATGAAATTCTTTAAAAGCAAATATTCCCTACTTTCTCCCCACTGTCAAACATCTTTTGGTATACTGAAAATATTCCACATTATGCTTCTTAAGTTTTTGAATAGTTAGAACTCCCGGCAGAAGCAGCATTTAAGTTGAGAAAGACAAATTGTAATTCTGTGCTTCTGCCATAACACGGTCAAAGATTCATTATAGGGATTTTGTGAAGGAGTCTCTAGTGCTAGTCTGGTACTTAATCATGTTCATAGTTATGGAGTGAAACAGAATTTGATTGTCTACTAATCGTAGATAGTGTTTTGTTGATTATTTTTGATGGTTGACATGATTTTCTTCTATATAGATGAGTATCATTGATTACACCAAAAGACAGTAGAAGTTTTTGAAAAAAGTTCATGCAGTTTAGTACGCCGTTGGATGGGTTCTGGAGGGATGTATTGGGTATAGATCTAACCTTTGGTATTATTTGCACAAAGTCGTTGCCTTCAGCTTCGAAGTGTGATTTAACTTAGACAAGGAACTTAATGGCAAAATATGTCAAGATGTGTTGGATAATTTGTGAAATACTATTTGTGGATTTTGTTTGTGGGCAGCGCGGGAGAAGTCATCTGGTAGGTCTGACCTACCAGGTGGATGTGTGCTATTTGGCAAGTAGTCTCTCTGGTTGCATTTGTGCACAAACAGAAGTATGAACATGCCTGTGTGTGTCTACCTCCCACTTTTTTGCTTTTTGTCTTGTTGCTCGTGTCCTTTCTAATAATAAAAATCATGGAAACTGCATGAGATGAGTAACATCCTATCTAATAATGTGCTTTCTCCTCCTTATAATGATTTGCTTGTCCAAACACTTCGTTTTATATTATGTTCCATTTGTGTTTCAGATGGAGGTAGTTTGTCTTAACACTGAGCCAGTGTTTGATGAAGACGATGAATATGAGGATGAAGGAGATTGTTCCCTGATGGAACACGATGATGAAATTGGTGAAACACAGTCAAAGAAGGAACCTCCACCACCTACTGTAGGTTTGGAGTTTGATTCTTTTGACGAAGCTTATGATTTTTACAACGTCTATGCTAAGGGACAAGGTTTTGGCATCAGAGTGAGCAATTCATGGTTTCGATCAAAGAGAAAAGAACGGTATAGGGCAAAACTTAGCTGCAGTAGTGCAGGTTTCAAGAAAAAGAGTGAAGCAAACAATCCCAGACCAGAAACAAGGACTGGTTGTCCTGCAATGATTATCATTAGGCTTGTCGATTCTAAGAGGTGGAGAACAATTGAAGTTGAGCTTGAACACAACCATCCCGTGAGTCCAGATGTTAAACGGTTTTACAAATCACACAAAAAGATGATTATTGCAGCCAAAAAGGCACAGCAGTCAGAACCTACTACAGAAATACATACTATAAAATTGTACAGAACTGCTGCTGTGGATGCTGTATGTAATGGATACTCTAATGTTGATGAAAGAGAAGGCAGAAGTCCCATTAATCACTCTAAGCATTTGCAACTTAAAGAAGGGGATGCACATGCAGTCTATAACTACTTCTGTCGAAT